AAAATGGGAATCAACTTTGTCCTGTGACCAGTGGTTCAAAGGTCAAAATAGCCAGCATAGGACTATTCCACTCTGCCCAGAGGGTATGCAGCCTTGTAAGTATCAACACATTAAAAATCCTACTGTGTATATAGATTTCTGTCTGTTAATGTCTTTTTTTTTTTTTACTATTTTTATTAACTTTTTGTTTTTTAGTAAGCACAGTTCCAAAGTCTGCTCCAGCACCCAAAAAGTATGAGAGCCATCAGGAACTTGAGAGAAAAACAGATGAACAGAAAAAAGAAGAGGTAAGTCATTGCTAGTACTTATTTCTTGGATTAATGGATGGATAGATTTATTCATTTATTTGGTTTCAACACCAAGGATAACCCACAAAATTCTGAAGAAGACTTATTTCCAGTGGGGTCCTTCTATTCAGCAATACACTGGGAGACAATCCCCATTTTCTTTTCCGAAGAGTGTACTGCGTTCTTTAACGTGCACACGGGCCATAATGCACGCAGGACCAAATGCTTAAAAGTCTTAACCGGAAGATAATGTGGTATCCCAACTTTCATTTCAGGCCTCCAGATTAAACCCAAGGAGAGCAGTAATGGGAATTAAACCGGGGATCAAGAGAATTCCACGGTTCAGCCCACGCATAGTGGCTATTACCAGTTTAGCTGACTCAAAGTTCACCTTGATCATTGGTTCCACTTCCTTAAATGTTGCTGCAGTATTGTTACAGTAGCAGACAACCCCACATGGTACCTACTTGTACTCCTAGGTGGACAGAAGCAATGCAGATAAAGTGCCTTGCTCATTGCTACAAAACATTTATGTTTTGTTTAATTGATGCAGTATTAAATATTGTTAATCAAATTGAAATGATCTCATTTTTCAGCTGCTGAATGCTATGGTCGGTAAATTGGGGCTTAGAGAGGATGAGCCCCTTCCCCAGGAAGAATTTGAAGGAGTTGATGAAGATGAATGGGTAAGTAAATTATTAGATAGGAATAAGGAGGTTGGAGAGAGAAGAAAGTAAGGAAAGAGAAGGAAAAAAAAGAAAGAAGGGGGAGCATGGTTCTCCAAAAACAATTTTTGATTTAAATTCCATGTAACAGTTGGGTTTTGAAATTTCTAATAAAAAATCTCAAACACCACCCCATCTTCCTGCTTGGTGCCTCACACGTCACATGGTACCTACCTAGATTTTTTTCTGGATCTACCCCTCAGGAAAAGATCATTGTAATTTAAAGATAAACTGCAAATTTTTTATTTATTTGAAAAGCATAGACTAGAATTTTTTTAATTTACCAAACAATTCCAATGACATGTATTCAATCAATGATGGAAATAATAATAGAATACAATACAATACAAATAATAAACCACCATAATTGGGATCATAAAAACTTACCATTATTATTTACTAACTAATGGTACATTGATAAATATTCTTTTTCAATTTTACTTTTAAAGACAGGTAAAGAAACTGAATTTTTAAATTGAAACATCAAGATCATTCCATAAATTAGGACCAGCAACAGAAACAAAAAATTGACTGAGTCTGATGAAGGGAACTGGAACAGAAGCATTTTTAAAATTATATGAGTGGGTTTTCTGAGATGTGTCTAATAATTCAACATAGGAAGACAAAGCATTTTTTTAAAATACTGAAACATAAATATTGCCGGTTGTACTTTGTGAATATCAAATAAATTAAAAAATTTTCAGTTGTTGGAATAAATATGTATGAAGCTTCCTATTCTAGAACCAGCATGAATGTGACAGTATATGTGTACATTGATATAGAGAAGCCATATAATACTTGTACTCATAACTTCAGCAATAGTACAATTTGCACAGTCTAAACGATCTTGATGTGTTAGATTACCTTGTCATAAATGACCGATATCCTGAAACACTCACCTTTAAACATGTTTATGCTAGAACTAATGCTTATAAATATTCCCTGTTTGTGAACTTCCCCCGAATTTGGGATCATATTCCTCGTGATGTTCGTAATAAAGCATTGTTCCACTTCGAAGGATTTAGAAGGGAGCTCAAAAAAGTGATCAATTATATTGAATTTTTTAATGCTCCTCTAAATACATTTTTAAGTACTCTTAGTTGGGAAAGCCACTTGACAGTGCTATTCTTTGAATTGATTCCACTTATGGCTACCCTCAGGCGCTGATTGTACTGTTGTTTTATGTATATTTGTGTTTTTTCACCAGAAAATTGAATAAAATAAAATAAAATCAATTCCAGTAAATGATCCATCATTTTAAAGCTTAAAATGTGGAGAATATGAACATTTCAAAGAGAAAATTTTCATGTTTTTGCCACTTAAGTTTTGGCATGACAAGCCCCATATTTGTTCTTATAAATAATGATTAACATCTGGTGTTTTTAATTGACAGGATGACTAGGACCACCTACGACAGGTAAAACGAAGAATCAAGAATCACAAGATGTGTAAAAAGAAACAAACAACACAGCAACCCTCTTTATGCTCTTAATAATCTAGTCATGCAAATGTGTTTAAATATTAATTTTATATATTACAATATATGTTTATTATAATATATTTTCATATTGTATTATATTGTGTTAATGAATAGCTAACAATTAATTTTATCGTATTTGATAAGATTCATGAAAATTTCCGAAATATGTATTATGAATTACATCAATATTTATGATATTGCTACAGTAATTTATATTTTCAGTACTATTTCAATTTTTAAGTATAAAGAGCAGAATATAAATTGTTTATTATAACATTTTAAGATGAATTTAAAATTATCCTTGTATTATGTATTAGTAATTTGTTGTTTATATCAAACAGTAAGGATAAGCAGGAAGGAGGCTGTGGTAGTAAAGATGTCTTCAATTTTGAGAAAAATCTTGTTGTTGGCAGGGATGGAGGCCTAAGCAGACCTGTGATTTTAACCCCCTTAACCCTGGGGTTGTACCCCTCACACAGGTATAATTTTCAGTCTGTATATCAACTACTGCAATCACTTACAAACATAATTTCTTTGGTGGAGCCTGACATAAAGATCTTTGTACTTATTTGGCTTTTGCAAGACACAATTTCATTTTGTCTTGTTTCTACTTCTATGCATTATGTGAATAAATCTGAATGCGAATGAAGCTGCCCCTGCAAGGGTACCGTACAGTTAGTTAATTACTACCAGCTACCAGATATACATTCTCATTCCCTTTTCGTGACTGAATGCTAGCAATGTGGCCTTAATGTCTGATTTAAACTCAGGATTCTGACATGGGACACTAATACAAGTATAATTCTTGCAACTGAAAAGGAGTGAACATTGTAAGCATTATAAGCATTATACTGTAATTTCCTCAAAATCAGATATCAAATGAAATTAATTAATTATTGAATTGTAATAATTGTTTTAATAATGATAGTCTTTTTCAATCTATGGTAATAAATTGTAATTGTATTACCCATAATTTAGTTTTGTGTTACTAATTGTTTGCATGTCCAGGTTAACAATCACCCCCCATACACACAAAAAACTTGGAACTTCTCAGTCATACTTGTTTTTTCATAAACATTACCAATCTGCGACTGAAATACTCATCATAACAGTTTTTTTTTTCAATTTATCCTGTTAGTGGCGATAATTCGCTGTTCGTCTGTTAGTGGCGTTGATTCGCTCTTGGTCTGTTGAAATGAAATAAATAATCATATTTATGCTCGCTTATATATATATTGATAATAATCATTTATTTCTACAGATTACCTTGTGACGTATTCGAACCATGAAAAAAAAATAACTTAAACTTAAAATAGTCACTCTAATTTCATCTCTTTGCATGTACAGTACTTTTAAATTCAATCAAGATGTTTTTCCTTTTCTCCACTTCTTGAATTGCAACTATACTATTGTGAGTGGAAATACTACCATGTAATTAATACAATAAAACAGGACTAGGAAGATAGGAAGCACACAAAATATTAGCATTTTTACTCATTTACGGTCATTATCATGAGTCTTGGTGAGATTGTGTCTAACAATGGTGTTCGTAAACTTGTAGTATCACATTTTTTTTTTCACCCCCATTTACTGTATTATTATTTACTTGTGATTGATATTAGCTATATATTTATTGACATTTAAGATGATCTCAACTGATTGAACAAAAGCATTTCCTCTCTACAAGATCTACCGGCGGATATGCAAAAGTCTGGTAATGAAGCCTAATAGAGCTTTAGAGGAGGAATTCATGGGCACAATAGATGAATAAGATGAGATTTTATTATTTTTATTTTGTTTTTCATTATTTGATCAAACAATATCTGACAATTGTAGGCCTATGCCCACTTTCAATACAAATTTGTTCAGACAAATCATATATCTCCCAAAGTCAGGCAATTAATGCTCTATTTCATCAGGTAAAATCTTATTCGGATACCGGGATTTGATAAACAAAAATATAATTTATACATTCTAGTTTTATAATATTATCGACCCTTTAATTTCAACAAAAATAAAACAACACACACATAATATAAACTAGAATTTATGATTATTAGATTTTTAAAATTTTAACCAAATAATGGCTATTACAAATTTATGCTATAGAATATTGGTTTATGTATCTACTGGCCACATAGCTTGTATTCCACTATTTGCATTCACACCTGGGCTGTGTATATATATTGCCTTGGTTTGGCTCTGTAATCATTAGTGGTCGTGGGACTAGTTTGGGCCCTACCTAAGCTGGTCGAACGTTTCGTTTTGGTCTATACCCTAGCTGCACAGATGATGCCTGGAAGGCCGAAACGGATCCGTCTGCAGATATTGGGATTCCTTCCAGTGGATGCTTAGTTTATTTTGTCATTCTGATCGGCTTTTCTCTACTGTTCCATTTTAATTTTAAATAGTTTTGCATTGTGTGGCCGTTTGCTGTTTTATGGGTTTTTCCCATTTCTTCCCATATATATATAATATATATATATATATATAATATATATATATATATTTTCGACAGTAGCTTTGATTAGACATATTTATTACTATTTAGTTTATGTTGAGTAAAGCTAAGGCAATACAGATGATATTGCAATTGTTGTGTAACAGAACATTTCTCATTAAAGCAAAGTGGGAATTAAGCCCTATGTTCTGTTTGTACAAACCAACATATCAAGTGTTGCTGCTGTTGCTGTTGTTGTTGTTGTTATTATTATATTTATACAATGCAGTATAATTTGTTTATTTTTTGAAGATGTGTTTTTTTAAAATGAATGAATGTTTCTTTTTCATAGTTATACTCATTTGCATAATCGTTAGTTTTTTTAAATTGTATTGTCTGCCAAAGCGCCTGAAAAGCAAATTTCATGTGAACCAATAAATATATACATTTTTTTTTATATTGTATAATTATTAAATACATTTGTGAGATAAATTGACACTGATTTCTCACGGGCAAGATTATTTCAATTTGTTAAACCTTTTTTAAAATATAATTATTACTCAACCAAAATAATTAGGCCTAGGCTACTCAACTAAAATAACTTAGCCTAGGCTAAACCTAGGCCTGGGAGGGCCCGCGCATAAGGCGCGTTCAGCCCTATGTCTATCGCTGTCGTAGACTAACGATAAACTGATCGTATCGGAAAAACAGTACACATTACGTAAATTCATTCATTTTCTTACCATTACCTAATACAGTAATAAAACTAGGACCAATGTAATCATATAATATTTACGTATTCTGTAGTTGAATTGTATAACTCGAATAACATTGATGTAAACACTTTTTGTGGCGCTGTTCATCGTCTAATTTTTTCTACTTCCGCATTACTGACTCCCAGTGATTTATTTCGATAAAATAAACTTTATGATAATTTATTTACAATGTTACCACAATTGGCGATGTATGATATCATAAAGTCAAGGAAACTTCGACTACAGTATTAATGCTTTAAAAATTCGCCGACTTCGTAGCGAAAAAAATCGGAGCTCGCGTGGTCTGGTTATCCCTGATGAGCGCTTGGATGAGCGTCCTCTGCTAAGTAACATAAAATGTAAGCCTATTATTAATAGGTCCATGCTTAAGCTATTGGCTTCATTTACAATTCCAGGTTAATTTGTTCTGCTTTTCTTTATGTTTTCGTACTTGGCTGTTTACTTTTGTAATTTAGTTGTTATTGTTGTCCGACCACACCTCACAAGGCTCTGTCTGCCAGTACCACCCTTTCTCCACTAATCCCTCTATTTACCGCTCTTCCTACATTTCAGCCTCGCTTTCGCCACACATAATGGTGAATTGTGACCACACCAGGAAACTCCAAAAATCCGGGTTCATTGTGTGTGCATTCACCGGTGTTTTTTTTCTCTCTCTCTATGCTCCACCAACCTCGAACAACAATCCGCGGAAATTACCCATGTATGTATGGATCCGTTATATATACAAAACAGAATATGTGCATTGATCAGTTTGTCTATGCTGCTCAAACCTCGAACAGACTTTTCGCCTTGGTAAGTCACCGTTTTTTTTTTTTTTTTGGTTTCTTTTTCTTCCCCCATTATTTCTTTCTACAGTGTGCATCTATACTGCACAAACCTCTAACATACTCTTCGCTTCGGTAAATCAGCTCTTTTCTTTTCTTTCTTATTTTGTGTGTGAAAAATCAGCGTTTTTCTTTTTTTTTTTTTTCCTTTCTACAGTGTGCGTCTATACTGCACAAACCTCTAACATACTCTTCGCTTCGGTAAATCAGCTCTTTTCTTTTCTTTTTTATTTTGTGTGTGAAAAATCAGCGTTTTTCTTTTTTTCCTTTCTACAGTGTGCGTCTATACTGCACAAACCTCTAACATACTCTTCGCCTCGGTAAATCAGCGTTTTTCTTTTCTTTTTTTTTTTGTGTGAAAAATCAGCGTTTTTCTTTTCTTTTTTTTTTGTGTGAAAAATCAGCGTTTTTTTGTTTTTTGTTTTTGTTTTTTTTTTGCCTTTTTCTTTGTCTTCTTTTTGTATCTCTACCAGCACAAACCTCTAACATACTCTTCGCCTCGGTAAGTCAGCGTGTTGTGTGGTTTTTTTATGCGTTTTTCTTCTTTTTTCATCTCTACCAGCGTCCCCTTTCCAACTGCCTCGGTAAGTTAGCCTTTTTCTTTTTTTTTTCTTTTTTTTTTTCTTTTTTTTTTCTTTTTTTTTCTCTTTTTCATCCTTTTACTGCTTAACAAGTAAAACAAATTTAGCTAAAGCTGAGTTGTCCAATGCCATTTTTATTTTCAGACTCCAAAAGCCATTTTTTCTTGGACCACTTTTACCTACATTCCAGTACAGTGTATACTGGTACATTCCAGTACAGTGTATACTGGTGTATGTTTCAAAAGTGTATAACATAACAAAGAAAAAAGAACATTTTCAGACTGACATTTGCAAGAAAATAACAACTCACCCTGGGAAAAGTTTTACTGGTTCTTGTGAAAATAAAAAGTGTTTTTACTGGTTCTTATGAAAATAAAAAATGTATTACAGAGTGTTTCGTTAAACCCTAAACAATTTTTCTTCCTTAAAGTACATCTTCTATATAAATTTCACACAAGTTCATTATATACTCTCTTTTCAATTTTGGATTCAGCAATATATATTTTCATTTTCTTATACAAAAAATATTGTCTATTGTTGTACGGTACCATTATAAATAAGTGTCCAACAACATACGCTCATTATTTTCAGTTAAGAAAGATCCACCAACAACAGAATGGACTGCTGTATCTGCTTAAATGTTTTGGGCCATCTTCAATGCAAATGCCCAAAAT